AAGTATGTATGGTCTTCATGTTCCCTCTTTATGTTTATTTTCTGGTTTTTCCTCTGTTTTTGCTCTCTCCTTGATTTTCACCTTCTATTTTCTTGCTTCTGAACTCCAACAAAGTGGTATCAGAGCAAGCATTCTTGAGGGGCCTGTGAGAGAGTGAAACACGAGTGTATGTGAGGGAGTGTACTGTGTAATCAACTATCACAGCTATGTCTTTTTCTTTAGGTTAGCATGGTGGTTCCCTATCAAACCCTCCTCTGTTTACAGGGAAGAATTATGATGTTTGGGCCATTAAAATGAAGGCATTTCTTAATGGAAATGATGTGTGGGATTCTGTGGAAAAGGGCTTTAATCCACCTTGGTTGTCTTAGAATCCATCAGTAGCTCAAATAAAGCAATATGCAGAGTATGTAGTTGGTTCATACAAGGCTTTTTCATTCATCCATAGTGCTGTTGCAGATGAGATATTTCCCAGAATAATGAGAGTAGAAATGGCATAAGCCCCATGGGAAATACTCCAGAAGGAATTTGAGGGTGATGAAAAGGATAAATGGCCAAAAGATTGTGAATTTGAAGAAAAAGTTTGCAATGATGAGAATGAAGGAGATTGACACCATTCATCAGTACTCCAATAGGCTTATGGATGTTGTGAACCAAATAAGATTGCATGGTGAAGATTTTCCAGACCAGAGAGTTATGGAAAAAATGATTATGAGTCTCCCTGAGAAGTTTGAACCAAAAATATCAGCTATAGAAGAGTCTTGTGATTTGATGACTCTTACTATTTATAAATCGATTAGCAAGTTGCAGGCTCATGAACAAAGGACTGCTCTTGGAATGGAAGACATGGTTGCTCGTGAAAGCCATCAGCACCATCCTTTGAAAATAAGTAACAATATGGAAGAGCAGATAAAGGAAAAATGGTGGCTACACAATTTCAGCCATCTAAGGAAAAATGGTGACCATAAGTTTCCTCCATGTTTGATATGCAAAAAAACTAATCATGATGGCAAGGATTGCTGGTACAAAGGGGAGCCACAAGTGCAATGGAGATTCTGCAAAAAATATGGTCACATTGAGAAATTTTACAGATTTAAGGAAAATTAATACATACCAAAGTAGCAGCAAGCACAAGTAATAAGCACAATTGAAGATCACTAGTTTATGGCTTCACTTGTTTTCGGTTCAATTGACAAATGCTCATGGTTTGTGGATAGTAGTTGTACCTATCATATGGCAAATAATGAAGCAACTTTTTTTGAATTGGACAAGTCAGTGAGAATCAAAGTGAAGCTTGGAAATGGCTCAATAGTGTAATCAGAAGGCAAGGGTATTATGGCTGTTTAGACTAGGGAAGGTACAAAGTGTATTCATGATGTTCTCTTTATGACTTCCTTAAGTCAAAATCTGTTAAGTGTTGCACAGATGCTTAGGAAAGGTTATTCAATTTCATTTGTCAATTATGCATGTTATATCTGTGATTCTTGTGGTGTTGAATTTTCTAGAATCAAGATGGTAAAGAATAACATTTCTATTATGTGGAATTCTCCTTGCTTGCATGTTGTTTATGGATCAAAATCTGATGAAACTTCTTTATGGCACAAGAGATAGGGTCACTTTAATTTGGGGTCTCTTAAGTTCCTTCAATCCAATGAACTTGTTAGAGACTTACCAGAAATTCATGTGAATGATGATGTATGTTCAAGCTGTCAATTTGGGAAGTTGCGTAGACAAGTTTTCCCCATCAACAGTTCATGGAGAGCAAGCCAGAAACTTGGGCTAGTTTATATAGATGTTTGTGGTCCAGTGAAGATTGCTTCGCTTGGTCAAAATCTCTATTTCATTCTTTTTATTGATGATTACACCAGGATGACATGGGTGCATTTTATGAGCAGCAAGGCACAAGTTTTCTCTGTGTTTAAAAGTTCAAGGTACTTGTTGAGAACCAAAGTGGTTGCAAAATTAGAACCTTGAGATCTGACAATGGAAAAGAATACGCTTTGAAAGAGTTTGACAGCTTTTGTGACGTTGTAGGGATAGCACATTAGTTAACTGTCCCTTATACTCCTCAATAGAATGGAGTTTCCAAGAGGAAGAATAGAACAATTATGGAGATGGCTAGATGTATGTTGCATGAAAAGAAGCTACCTAAGAAGTTTTAGGCAAATGCTGTTTATACAGTTGTATATTTGTTGAATAGTTTGCCTACTAAGGCTGTGCAAGGCAAAACATCTATTGAAGCCTGGTATGGTGTTAAGCCTTCTGCACATCATTTGAAAAATTTTGGCTCTATTTGCCATACTCATGTACCTAATGCAAAGAGAACCAAGTTGATGTTAAAGTTGAAACTGGTATTCTGGTGGGTTATTCTACAAAATCAAAAGGCTATAGGGTATACAAGTTGTAATCTGGAAAAATCTTAGTTCACAGGGATGTACAAGTTGATGAAGATTCTCACTAGGATTGGGACAAGAGAGTTGTGAAAAATGGTGATGTAACCTATGTCAAGGATGATGTAGAAGCTTCCAAAGAGGAAATTTCAACTTTTAATGTAGCTGATATTGATGCTCACCATGACTCCTCTGTTATGAAAACTAAATCCTTGTCTGAAATTTATGAAAGATGCTACTTGGCTGTTTTAGAGCCCAACACTTATGCAGAAGCTTCCAAGCATGACATATGGAGGCATGTAATGCAAGAGGAGATATAGATGAATTAAAAAAATTACACTTGGGAATTGACTTCCTTGCCACTGGAAAAGAATGCAATTGGAGTCAAATGGGTGTTTAGAACTAAGATGAATCTCGATGGCTCCATTCATAAGCACAAAGCCAGATTGGTAATGTAAGGATATGCTCAACAAGCTGGAATTGATTATGGTGATACTTTTGCACTGGTTGCTTGACATGATACATTCAGAATGTTGATTACTTTATCTGCTAATTTTGGCTGGACAATTTACCATATGGATGTCAAATCAGCTTTCTTAAATGGCCATTTGTAGGAAGACATTTATGTGCAACAACTTGAGGGCTTTATTATTTTTGGTCATGAAGACAAGGTTTACAAGCTTAAAAAGGCTTTGTATGGGCTCAAGCAAGCACCTAGATCTTGGTCAAGCAGGATATGTTAAATGCAACTCAAGTTAGTCTTCCAAAGATAAAGCTTTTTCAGTTGAAAATTCTAGTTAAAATCTTTTTGTTCGTGATGTTGAGTTGCTGATTTCTTTGTATGTTGATGATCTATTGATTACTGGTAACAATTCATAGTTATTACTCAATTTTAAAGCTGATTTGATGAAAGAATTTGAAATGTCTAATCTAGGGGAGATGAGTTATTTTTTAGGCATGGAAATTCATTAATGTGAATCTGGTATATTTGTTTCTCAACATAGATATGCTCTTAATGTTTTGAAGAAATTTAATATGGATCAATGCAAGTCTGTGCCTACTCCCTTAGTTTAAAATTCAAAATTGATTGTTGAAGATCATTATGAGAAGAGAGATGCTTCCATTTACAAAACTTTGGTTGGGAGTCTTTTGTATCTTATTGCATCCAGGCTAGATCTCATGTATGCAGCAAGCTTGTTGTCTAGGTTCATGCATTCTCTTGTCAAGCTCATTTTGGTGTTGCAAAAAAGGTGCTGCAAAAAGGGTGTTGAGAATCTCAATGGCACCTCAGATTATGGTTTATGGTTTGAGAAGCATAAACATGGAATTCTGCATTGTTTTTCTTATAGTGACTGGGCTAGAAGTCATGAAGATGACAAGAGCACAACTGGTTTTGTGTTCTTTTTTGGTTTTGTAGCTTTTTCTTGGATGTTTAGACAACAAGAGATTGTTGCTCATTCAAATGCAGAAGCTGAGTATATTGATGTAGTAGAAGTCGTAAATCATGCAGCATGGATTAACAAGATGCTAATTGATATGGGATCT